AGGAAGCGGCCGGGTCCCCGTGGCGGAGACGCCGGGGGCCCGGGGCTCGGCGCGGCCAGGGCGATCTGCTCCCGGGCGCCGGCGTCGCGCGTGGGTCCTCTTGGGGACCTAGTTTTGCGGCCTAAGCTGAACCCTCTAGGCCTCGCGTCTCCTTTCCCGGAGGGGACCGGCCAGACGGGGACCCGGCCGCTTCTCCTGGGCCGAGTTGGAGCCTTTGGGTCCTCCCTGGTCCCTCGAGGCCACCAAACTAACGACCTAGGTGCCCGGGGGTGCATTTCATTGTGAAAAGAGGGCTAGGAAACTCTGGGCGCTGTTCGGTACCTCCCGCGGCCGCGGCAGCCGGGAGCCCGGTGGTTCCGGGGCTGGAGCGGGTGGGGGCGGCGGACACCTAGCGGGATCCGAGTCCCAGAGGTGGAGCGAGTGGCGGGGGGTTCCCCGGTCTCGGGGAAAGAAAGGGCTCTTCCCAGATTAGAGATTTTTGAAATGAAAAAGAGGTTACAAAGTCGCCCCTTTCCCGCTGAACTTTGGTTTTCTGACCGATAGAGGCCGGTAGAGGACTGTGAAAGAAAAGTTATCCCCCAGGATGGACTTCTCGCAGCCGAAACCTGCCGCTGCCCTCTGTGGCGTTGTGAGTGCGGACGGAAAGATCGCTTACCCCCCGGGAGTAAAGGAAATCACCGACAAGATCACCACCGACGAAATGATCAAACGGCTGAAGGTAAGCTTCTGGGTCGATGATCTGCGCTCCGGATGGCTTGGTGACTCGTGGTTCCACTGGACTATGCGGCATGGCCTTTGGAGTTTTGAAATATGAAGTTTTTAAAGATAGCCTATCGTCTTCTCTCTTGAAAGTATTCCAACTTGGTTAGGTTCTGAAAGGACTAAGTATGGGACATTTAAAAGGAGTTTGATTGTTTTCTATTCCTGTATATTAAGTGTAGAATCTCAGATTTGGTTGCTTCTCATCTCCCTGTGATCCCTTTCATTTACTGAATATTGTGACTTGTACCCTTAACTGTAGGCAGTGATTTGCCCCAGAAAGTTCCTTTTGGGTTTTTCTGTAGCCTTGACTGTTCTGGAATTTACTGTGTAGACCAGGCTGACCTTACATGGTCCACCTGCCTCTGCTTCTCGAGTTAAAAGAGGATTAAAAGAGGTCATTACTGCTCGCTGAAAGTTACTGTTTTTATCAACTCCAAATAAGACTGATGTGAGCACAGGCAACCTTTTTTTTTTTTTAAACCTTTTGTGTATTGGCGTTTGCCTGCATATATGTCTGTGTGAGGGTGTTGGATCCCTGAAACTGGAGAGTTACAAGCAGTTGTGAACTGCTGTGTGGGTGCTGGGAATTGAACCCTGGGTCCTCTGGAAAAGCAGCCAGTGCTCTTAACCACTGAGCCATCATCATCATCCATATATCAACACCCCCACCCCATTTTCACACAATTTCGAATAGCTTGAAGCTTAACTATGTATACAGTGTGGCTAAATTCGAACATATAGTAAAATGATTTAAGTACACATGCCCAGGAAATTTGAGGGTTGTATTATTGCTATTTCTGTGAGGGTGTAAATGTGATAATCCTTAACATCAGTGTTGTTCGCTTCAATTTTGCTTTGGTTGGTGTTGGACTTTTCTGTGGACATAGATTGTGGATGGAGCCTTACCAAATGAGGGCAGTTTTTGTTATTGAATCAGCTTCAGGTAGTGGTTGTCACTTTGGGGCATCTTACTTTCACCAGGGAATATTGTAGGCATTTTGGTTGCCATAGCTGGGGCTTCTTTGGAATAGGGAGATGGGGGCAATGGGCTCTGCTAGGAAACTAACTAGTTTAGGTGAAAGATCTTAAACTTTATAAGTAGGGCATTGACAGTGGAAATAGACAAAGAATGGGTCAGATGAGCTGTTTGAGAGAGTATCTCCCTGCTGGTCTTGAATTTACAACTTTCCTGACTCCACTTTTCAAATGCTAGAATTACACCACATCCTGTTAAAACAGTGATTCTCAAATGAGGGGTTGAGACCCCTTTGGGAGTCGAACCACCCTTTCACATGTTGCATATCAGATATTTACATTTACCAGTAGCAAATTTCAGTTATGAAGTAGCAACAAAAATAATTTTGTGGCTGGTGTCACTACAATATGAGGAACTGTAGCATTACAAAGGTTGAGAACCGTTGTACTAAGATGCTTCAAAGTTAAGTCAGACATGGTGGAAGGCCAGGCAAGAAACATGGTTGACAACTTTTCTGCCTTGTGCAACTTTCTTTTATGTGCATTGGTGTTTTGCCTGCATTTCTATCTGCGTGAGGGTTTTAGATCTCCTGGAACTGAAGTTACAGACAGTTTTGAGCTGCTGTGTGGATGCTGGGAATTGAACCTGGGTTCTCTGGAAGAGCAGGCCAGTGCTCTTGATCATTGAGTCATCTGTCTAGCCCCTTTGGGCAACTTTATACAATGTATTTTTAGGGCCTGATTTTAGAATTGAGTGTAATGTCTAGTAAGTTTTGTGTGTTTAAAATATTCCTGTGGTTTCGGGTCTTTTCTGTTTTCTTTCCATTCCCTTTTAATGGGGTCGGGAGGATGCATGTGTAGGCAGGCAGTGCGTATTAAACCCAGGCCTTGCTCTACCTACCACCCCAGCCTAAGGCAGGTAAATCTTTTTTGTTTTGTTTTGTTTTTGTTTTGGCCTAAAACTTGCTATGTAAATGAGGCTGATCTTAAATTTCCCTTGATCTCTCGATTCTCTCTGCCTTTGAAGTGTCACCGTGCTCAACTAAAATCTTTATGTGAGAATGCCTGTGTGTGTGTGTGTGTGTGTGTGTGTGTGTGTGTACTTGCGTGTTTATGTGTAGGTACATAGACACTTTTGTGTAAGTTTGTGGAGGCCTGTGGACAGTCTTGGGTATTATTACCTTCTGTCCTCTGTCCTTTGAGAGAACACCTCTGAAGTCCACCTCCTTTGAGACGAGGTTTCTGATTGTCCTGGAGTTCACCAATTAAGTTAGACTGGCTATCCAGTAAGCCTGGAGAATCCTGCTGATATTACAGTTGTTGTGTTCACATGGAGCTTTTTATACTGTCCTGGGGATTGGAGCTCAAACTCAGATCCTTATATTTGGAAGGAAAACACTGCTCACTTAGTTTCTTCTTAGCTCCCCAAAGTGAATCTTGGTACTTGTACTGAGAGTTTGTTAATGCTTCATAAGATTATATTGGATATTTCAAGTAAGACTGAATGACTAAGAAAAATAAAGCTGTTCAATAAAATTAGAATTACACCTGTATGTGTGTGTTTTGTCTTGTTGTATTTTATTCCCTACCCCAGTTTGTTTGTTTTTTAGTGTTTTTGAGACAGGGTCTCTCTATTTGTCTCTGGCTGTCACAGAACTCATTATGTAGACCAGGGTGGCTTCCTCTGCCAGGGGTCTTGGAGTTAAAGATGTGTTCCAATATGTTCCAGTAAGATCAGCTACTCAACCCAGGTTTTTGACCAGTTTTGAGACAGGTTCTTTTTTGTTTGTTTGTTTGTTTTGATACAGGGTTTCTCTGTGTAAAAGCCCTGGCTGATCTAGAACTTATTTTGTAGACCAGGCTGGCCTCGAACTCAGAAATCCACCTGCCTCTGCCTCCCAAGTGCTGGGATTAAAGATATGTGCTATTACTGCTTGGATTGAGACCGTTCTTACTGTTTAGCTCAGGCTAATCTTAGATTCACAGATCCTTCTTCCTTGGCCTCCTGATATGAGTGTGCTGGGATAACAGATATGTGCCACCAAACCTAACAATCATCTAGTTTTGATTAAGTGTTTAAATTAAGAATATTGAAAAATGTCCCCTGATACATGCCTTATATCCTGGCAATTCAGGAGGTAGAAGCTGGTAGATCTCTGAAGTTGAGAACAGCCTGTTCTACAGAGTGAGTTCTAGAACAGCAAGGACTACACAGAGAAACCTAGTCTCCAAAAAACAAAACAAAAATTGAAATAGCAAGGCATTGTCGTGTTCACATTTAATCCCAGCACTCAAGGAGAGCAGGTGGATCTCTGTCATTTCCAGACCAGCCTGGTCTACATAGCAAATTCTAGGCCAGCTAGGAGTACACACTGACACCCTGTCTCCAAAAAATAAATAAAATTAGATAAAAGAATATTAAAACCTTGAGTTTTTAGGAGTGAACAGTCTTTTTTAAAAAGAAAGAAAGAAAGAAAGAAAATTTGGGTCCAACTTGGATCTTGTATAGTGGAAGGAGAATGGATTCCCACAAGTCCTTAGACATTCACCTTCAAGCCATACTTATTCTCTCTCTCTCTCTCTCTCTCTCTCACACACACACACACACACACACACACACACAGTAAAGTGCAATGAAAAATTTAAAAACAGGAAGTTATGACATACTTTTCCATTTAAATAAAGATAGATAAATATTAGAAGCATTCTTGTCTGCAAAAGGTCAAGGACAACACTGGGTTAGCTATTCATTTATTATGAATTCTTTTGCAAGTTAAAGTTGATACACATTTTTATAAATTTTACTTTTTTTTTGGTTTTTTGAGATAGGGTTTCTCTGTAGCCCTGGCTGTTCTGGAACCAGCTTTTGTAGGCCAGCTGGCCTCGATTTCACAGAGATCTGCCTGCCTCTGTCTCCCAATTGCTGGGACTTGAAGATGTGAATCAGTTTTTGTTGTTGTTGTTGCTGTTTAATAAGGACAAAATCACATAGCCCAGGAGACCAGGCTGGCCTTGAATTTAAGATCCTCCTAACTCCACATCTGAAATGCTATGATTACAGGTATATACCACCATGCCTGAGGATTGAGTCTAGTGCTTCATACATGTTAAACTGGTACCCTACCAACTGACCCGTATCCTCAACCTCTCTTTTTTCTCCCTTCATATTGTTTATTTTTGAGAGACGATCTCTTCATGTCCAGACTACTCCCAGAATTCTGATCCTCTTATATCCTAGGGGTCACAAACATGTACCATTCCATGAACTTGGCTCCATACCCTAAGGAAAAGTGTATTTCTGTATATAGGTGTGCTGTGCCTTGCTGTGCATGTGGAGGTCAGAGAACTGAAAGTTGTTCTCTTTCTACCCCTTGGGTCCAGGAATTGAACTCAGATGGTTTGGCTTGGTTGCATTTTATTGCTAAGCACTTTTATTTATTACTGGTTCCATAATTTTACAGGTAGAAGGATCCTAAAAAATTCTGGAACCCACTCTTAGCAGATGACAAAAGTTATGTCTGTTGTATGTAAATGACTCAGTAGCTGGTTAGTGGCAGATTCAGGGCAGTGGCATTGTGTTTGTTTTGGTTCTGATGTAACTTGCATCTAAGGCATCTTTAGTAGATACGACTAAGACTTGTGATGTTTTAAAAAGTGTCGGGGACCAGCCTCGGACAAAAATACCTCTTGCCAGGGTAGAGGCGTGGGTATTTAGAAAATATTAGTAAAGAATACGAAGATGTGAAGATGTGAAAGAAATTAATAGAGCAGAGAAACAAAGTATAGTATCGGGAGGGAGTTCTAGTTAGTGCTTAAAATTAAATATTTCAATTGAAATGTTTACGGCACATGTGTGGAGAGGTAGGACAATTTTGTATAGTTGCTTCTCTCTGTCCACTTTTATGTGCTCCGGGGATCAAACTTAGGTTGTCAAATTTAGCAATTGCCTTTGCTCTCTGAGCCATCTCTCCAGCCTAAGAG